CAACCGCGGTTTATGCGACACTTGCGGTCGTTGCTGTCGTCCGACAGCAGCGGTCGTAAGTGTCGCAGCGCAGATCGATACGCACCCAATGCTGTGCGACACTTGCAGTCGTTGCTGTCGTCCGACCGACTATGCGTCCGGCCATATGGCGCGATCCCATTGGCATTGGAGCGCACGGCCGTAATTACCACATCCTGCTGTGGCCGGACAACTCGTCCGCGCAACACATTTTGTTCCGTTCCTCTTGCCTTGGCATCAGGCCAGCGAAGCTATCCGCTCTTTTTTAATCCTTGGGACTCAGCGAGATTTTTGAGACCCAAATTATCAGATCGATCAATTACTGAAGTCTAGTAGTTGAGTGATACGGACGAGTTGTCCGGCCGCAGCAGGATGGGGCAATTGCGGCCTGTGCGCTCTAATGCCAATGGGATCGCGCCATATGACCGCCTCCCGTGCAGCCGCCCAGGAATTGGGTAGTTCGGTTCATCCTTTTAAATTGACTTCCTGTCTTGTCTGCTGACTTCTAGTCACTCACGCCATTGGTTATATCAACTTCGAGTGAAGTCAAGGGGCATCGTGGAGCAGACATACGACGCATTTTGTAAAAATGAGGGATATTTCTGCAATCCCATTTGGTTCCCTTCCTGCATAAGTAAACCTCATCTAACATGGGTCTTTTGCTTCAGTTAAAATGGGATTACTGTTACGGTGATGACTAGCGCCTGGCGATGCCCCTCCTACTACACTTGCCCCTATCGCTGCCTCTTTTGCAATGGGTTGTTGAAAAAGTGAGTTGGGGGTAAGTGGTAGGGGGACCACGCGGTGGCGAGACGACTGTTAAGCGCTATGGCATCAAGCGTGAGCCTAGGCCCACTGTTCGCAGCCCACCCGCGCCATTCTAAGCTTAGGCTTACCATCCAACTACTGGTTTCCAACTACTTACTGGTTAGTGCTGTCTCTCACTGAATCGTTGTGTCGATGCGCCTCATGGCGCTTCCACAGTTGGTCGTCAAGTCGTTGCGGTCGCGCAGCATCTGATGGTATCGATCGTTCGATCCGATCGGTGCTGTACGATCGTGCGAACGCCCGACTATAAAATCACCCTGACTAGGGCAACCGTCAGGCCCACAGTTCTCAACTCCTCGCTGACTTTGTGAAGGAAGTGTTCAGGCTTTGATTCAGGAAGAAAAAAATATAAATGGGTGCTCATGTCTTTGGGGGGGGGGGGGGAGACATCCAGTGAGCCAATTGCTGTGCTTGGGACGGAGCCCACTGAGGGAAGGGATTCTGGAGGAGCATCTGAACAATTTCTGTTCTCACTGGCGCTCTTCCTTTTTGCTGGGCTTCCAGCCTTCCACTCAGTCCCAGTCTCACCTACCGTCGGTCCAGTTCTGCATGACCCCCCAAGGACATGAGCGATGATAAATATTAGATAGTTTCACTGGGAAAGTAAGCCATCAATGTCTGGGCTTTTTTCTTTCCAACAAGCCATATGTGGTTTGACATGCGCCCGTTAACCTCATCGCATCCAGGTGAAGCCTAATGCTGTGGAGCATTTACCAGAGCAAACAGTCTCATCATAAGAATGTCCTTTCTTTGTTCCAGATGGCAACGAATTGTGGCTGTGGTTCACTAGGACAGAAAGCGACGTTTTCGTCCTTTGCGGCGCGAAAACTTTTCTCGTTGTTCTCGTTGTGGGAATCCCGGGTCCACGCCTAATCATACTTGGTCCCTAGGTTCCCGTAACGAAAAAATTTGCGCGCGCGAAAGCGTCAAAGTCGCTTTCTGTCCTAGTGAACCACACCCACGCCTTGTTCAGTGGTCTCTAGCATGGAAAAAAGATTCGAAGCCTCGAGAAAGTCGCTTCTGTGAAACTTTTGCTCTCTTACCTCATGACACACTTCAGCTTTAGACTGGGGAGTGGTTTCATGGTCTTGCTTACATTTTTCTTTTCACACCTACATAAATCTCCTTGATGACTTTGTATAATATTCGTGCGAACAATTTTATTCTCGTTGATGAATTCCTGTCTATTTTGGCGCATATTTCTCCTTAATATGCTAATAATACAGTGAGTTTGATATACGATGAGTAGTTTAGGATGAGGGAGGATACACCAGATTCCCAGTCACGTCCACGACGAGCGTCTTTGATCAAAGCAACTGAAAGCATCAAGAAAGTCGCGGCACCGAAAAAGAAACGTGAAGGTTTTCAATGTCGCATTTGTTGAGAACATAGTTTTCGCCTTTTTTTATTCAGGCGTCAGAATTTCAGATGTGTACGAAGTCGAGGACATTATTTCTCACATTGTTGTCGACGGCGAGGCTCTCTATAGAGTCACTTGGGTAGGATATCCAGGCGAAGTCACTGAACTAACTGAGGATGAATTGTCGGTATGCTTGGTTTTGTTATTTCTTTTCCATTGTTCATATCACCATTAAGGTTTACGGGTTTCGCAGAAGTTTAACAGGCTCTGTTTATCTTTCTCGGAAAATTATCCAATTTATTAACTTTTTTGATAAGCCACGTCTTACTCGCATTTGATCGACAAATGCTTCATTGGAGTAGTACGAACGACGCCAAATTCCCTCTGATGTCTTCTACCGTGCTGACATAGTCGCATACGTTCAATCTTCCCCTTAATACGTTTAACCCTTTCGGCCCTGGCGGTGGCAATTGCCACCACCAAATTCAAACGCTTGCATTGCCGCTGAAACAGCATGGTTTTTCTAATCCTGCTAGAGGTTGCTTCAGTCAACCTTCCCCTTCCTAATTATGAGCTAAACCTGCCATTTCATTGTGTGTTGCTGTTAGTATTACAAGTATTTGTGTACAAGTGCAACAATGAATCGACGCTGACCCCCGCAACCGGCCAAGTAAGTGTGACTTTTTCTTAAAATACTTGAAGTAGATCCATTCCTAAATCAAAATTATGGGTTATAATGTTATGCAAGATTATAAACTTTTTCGGCATAACTATGAAATTTCGAATTGTTTCGACATAAGCTTAAAAACTAAGAAGGTGGCCAATTTTCAAAGCTTCTTAGTTTCTTTGTTTGTGATCGAATAGCTTCCAAATTTCGCCATAATGATACCTATATGCTCACAAGTAATAAACAATAGCTAGAAGAAAAATTTCTCCACGGGGAAAAATTCAGGTCCGAAAGGGTTAAGGAACTGCAATACGTTCCGTTGAGCTCATGTCTATGAAAACAAAGTTTGTTATTTTTATATCGACTATTTGTTACCTGCTGTTTTTACTGCAGTCCCATGGCAATTTCCCCCAAGTATGGTGATTCATGGCCCCTACGCAATGTTATTCGAGTGTTTTCGTGCTCAGTGGACGCCTCTTGCACCACCTGCATCCCTGAAGTTTAAATAAAATGTTCCTATACTTTTCCTCCGTTGTATACTTGCAACTCCTTGCTTCGAAGTAAACTTTTTTCTATTGGTCCGGTCCATTAGAGACCCGGTTCAAAAACCCGTTTCAGTAGCTCACCCATCACATGTGTGAAGTGATCACTTCCCTTTTCCCATTTGAACTACACTTCCAAAGATGGAAACTAGAGTAATTAACTGTGGCTCTGCTGTTCTGATGAGCCCAGCCACTGCATACAAGGTAACCCTCCATCTCCTAACCTCTTCTCATCAATATCACAGTCATTACTTTACATTCTAACAGTATTACATTACAACGTGGTCTCTCTGATTAGGTAATGTATTCACCCCATAAATAAGTTAACACGTTGGGAAAAAATCGGAATTGACGAAGTGCTCCTTTGCTCCCGAATGTCCTTTAACCTTTCATCACTTCACGCACCGCAACTCCTTAACCACCATTTCCTCAAAAGTTTCAGGTTGGGGGGAGGGCGGTTAGCGATATGTACAGTTTTTGAAGTGGCAATAATTTTTGCATTCCTCCGAATTTCGTCTGAAAACTCACCATCGATTTAGTTCTCTCCAGGAATCATAAATAAATATTAGGTTGTCTCATAAACAGTGTCGCTTTTTTTCAACCAAAAAATTTTCATCCAAATCCTCATGCTTTTACATCGAATCATATACCATTCGAAAGAGAATTGTCTGCTCTACAAGAATATCGTGTTCTTCTTCCATCTATGTTCCATGGTTTTCAAATTTTAGGCCTGCGAAATGGGAGGTCCCGCCGACAAAAATTGACCAAACCGACAACTAGCTCTAACTTTATCTTCCCTTTGGAGAAATCAATCAATACTGTACCCTCTACTTACGCATGACCTCTTCTAAACACTACACCATTAGGTTCCCAACAAGTCGCGTCATTCCATTTCCAGACCTGGTTTTTCAACCAGAACTCGACGGTCGAGCACCATTACCTGAGATCGAGGTCGAAATTTTTTTATAGCCGAGACATTGAAAAACTAGTAGAATTTAAAGAACAAGTCATGACTAAGTTAGGAATGTACGCCTGGTTGATTTTCTCATCTTCTAAGGATAATTTTTTTCAAAGAAATGCGGTCACTTTCGTGGACAAAGCACCTTACTCCTAAACACCTAAAATTCGAGCTAATTCCTAAAACAATCAAAACAAAACAATGAGCGAATAGAGCAGAAGAAGTGCTCACAAAAGATACACCAGTTGATATAAAACAATAGCGTTTCAGAGGAAGAATTTCAATTTGAAAATTGCCATGGCTTATCGGTCGGCCAATTCGAAAAGAAACAGGGCAAACCTTTTTCGGCAACCTAAGGGTGGAATGTTCAGAAGAGGTCATGAGTAAGTAGAGGGTACATCATTGATTGATTTCTCCGCAAGGGAAAATAAAGTTAGAGCTAGTTGTCGGTTTGGTCAATTTTTGTCGGCGGACCTCCCATTTCGCAGGCCTAAAATTTGAAAACCATGGAACATAGATGGAAGAAGAACACGATATTTGTAGAGCAGACAATTCTCTTTCGAATGGTATATGACTCGATGTAAAAGCATGGGGATTTAGATGAAAATTTTTTGGTTGAAAAAAAGCGACACTATTTATGAGACAACCTAATAGTACTTCCTAGAAGCAAGTACAAATGAACCCTATTTCTGGGAAAATTCCAACCTTCAAGGCAAACTTATCCGGTCAGTGTTAGAAAAGTGAATGGGCCGAGTATTCGGCGTTTGTCAATACTTTTTCGGGATGTATCGCAAATTTAACTATCATCCGAGATGTTATCGATTTGAAAGCGTCTTTGGTATCATCAGTGATTGCGGAAACCAATTGATGTACCGGAACACGTATGTCACCCTTAACTGGTGTTTGCTAGCAGGGTCAACATTCACCCTCCTCTAATCCTCCCGATGTGCTACGACAAACTGTGAGAACAGTGAAGCTGATTAAACAAATGTGACAATTTTGTGGAGCAGATTTCGCTCCTGGGGATCGTTGAAAGATCATCGTTGCAAGGATTGTTATGAAATAGCAGCCATGCTCACAAATTTCGCAATCGAATATTGATCCGAATGGATCCGCTGCTCCGTGCTTAATCGTTTCCATTCATACCTTCTACGAAGATACTATCCTACATACCCTCCGTCTTAGTTAGCTAAGCCAGTTTTTCAAAGGGGTTTCGGGTTTTTACAACAACACTGCTGCCTTTTTTTCCAAAATTCCTGTTATTCAGCTGCTAACCAGTCAGTATTTCAGAACTGTACCGAACTTCTGCAAGCATACAAACAGAAAGTGATGGAGAGTGGTGATACTAGCTTGCTATCGGTGATGCAGCCCAGCTCGAATCAAGCTTCGGAAAGGGGCGATTTTAATAATGGCTATGGACATGATCAGCAAATGTCTACGCCAGAGAATTCTAGCGTAAGTTGGATTCGGATGAAATAGTGGCGTTCTTGGGCACTACGGATGTGTTTGAAAGAACCTTAACTTCATTCAAGGAATCGAAGGAGGATGGGAAACGTCAGAAGACTGAAAGTGATACAAAAAAGAAGAAGAAAAGGAATGCTCCACAAGATGGCGAAGCGAAACCCAATGGAGACGTGTCTTCAACCAAGGTATGCTTTATACAGTGTGTCCCAAAAGTATAGGGACACCCTATTTTTCTTCAGTATCTCTGTTATAAACAAATGATTTCTCTAAATTTTTATCAACAATGCACTATTACACCAGGGTACAAATATAAGCGAAATTGGAAAGAAAAAATTTTAAAATTTTTTTGATTTTTTTCTAAAATCATGGCGTCCCAAAAGTATAGGGACACTCGGTTCTTCAGCAGTGTTTCTGACTTAGGTAAGTTGTGAAACACTCTACTTCCCACACTTGTTCTACAGTGCCATGCCACGAGGAATGCACCTACACGACTTTGAGAAAGGCCAAATTCGGGTTACAAGGATATGGGACTCAGCCACCGCAGCATTTCAAGGAAATTAGGACGATCAGTCAACTTGGTGAGCAAATTCTGCAACAACATCGACTCCTACGGTAAAAAAAAAGCGGGAGACCTAGGAAAGTTTTGGAAAGGCAGAAGCGCCGAATTCCCTATGCTGCATCCAATTCCATAAAGGGTGTGAGGCGGCTGAGCAAGGAAGTAGCACCCGATTTGTGGAGAAGTACTGGTCATGTGTGCTCAAATCATGTCCCCACATCGTTAAAAGCAGTTTTCAACAGTGCCATGTTTGACGAGTGCGTATGAAGAAGCACGAGTCTTTTTCGCAAAGGAACACGTAAGCTGGACTCATCAATGGGATGAGGCACTTTGCACTGGCGGATTCCGCATGTAATATCGTAC